CCACTCACCTCAGCCTCCCAAAAGCGCGGGATTACAGGCTGAGCCACCGAGCCCGGCTTAAAGCACATATTCTTAAGGAGTTTATTTTGAGGGTTGGTGAGTTTTATTTCCTGGTCAGTATTGCAAAAGGTGTCTGAGAAGTTTAGATAAAAGTATAAAACTCAACTGTATAAAAGAAAAAAAAATCATCTCTGACAAGTCTGTCTTACTCCTGTTGGTTATAGATTGCCAATGAAGTAATTGGAGAAATGAACCTGAAACCAGAGGAGGTTTTCCTTGCCCAGGGTACTTTACGGCCGGATCTAATTGAAAGTGCATCCCTTGTTGCAAGTGGCAAAGCTGAGCTCATCAAAACCCATCACAATGACACAGAGCTTATCAGAAAGCTGAGAGAAGAGGTACTAGCTTATGAGGACTTTTTAAAAAATAAATTAGATACACGAGAATCTTCCCCTATCCGTCAGTATTCACAGCCATCACCACCATCTCATTTTACTTTATGTGTGTATGTGTGTGTGTGTGTGTGTGTGTGTATGTATGTGTGTTTTGAGTCAGAGTCTCATTCTGTCGCTTAGGCTGGAGTGCTGTGGTATGATCATGGCTACTGTGGACTCCACCTGCAGGACTATAGATGTGTGCCACCACACCGGGCTAATTTTTTGATTTATTGTAGATCTTGCCTGGTTGCCAAGGCTGATCTTGAATCCCTGGGCTCAGGCAGTCCTCTTGCTTCTGTCTCCTAGAGTGAATTACAGGCATGGACCACTGCACCTGGCCTCATTTTATTTTTATGTATTCTTTTAGAGAAAGGGTCTCCCTCTATCACCTAGTGCAGTTACGTGATTATAGTTCACTGTAGTCTCAGACTCCTGGGACTAAACGATGTGCCTGTCTCAGCCTTCTGAGTAGCTAAGATTACAGGCAGGCATCACTTTGCCTGGCTAATTTTTTAAATCTTTTTTTTTTTTTTTAATAGAGATAGGGTCTTGCCGTGTTGCCCAGGCTTGTCTTAAACTCCTAAGTGATCTCCTGTCTTGATCTCCTATCTTGCCCAGGCTTGTCTTGAACTCACACGTGATCTCCTATCTTGGTCTTACACAGCACTGGGGCTATAGGCGTGAGTTACCGTGCCTGGCTCACAGTCTAAATTTAGAACATTTTCATTAGCCCAAAAAGGAGCCTCATACCCATTAGCAACCATTTCTTATTCTATCTGCTGTCGTCTTCCTCCACCCCCTCCTCTCCTGCCAGCCTTAGGCAACCACTAACCACTAATTTATTTTCTGTCTCTATAGATTTGCTCATTCTGAACATTTCATATAAGCGGAATCATACTATATGTGATCTTTTATGACTAGCTTTTTTTACTTATCGTAATATTTTCAAGGTTCATCCATATTGTATCATGTATCAGAACTTTATTTCTTTTTATTATTTCCTTATTATTGCCAAATATATTCTATCGTATGGATAGACAGCATTTTATTTATCCATTGATCAGTTGATGGACATTTGAGTTGTTTCCACTTTTTGGCTATTATAAGTAATGCTACAGTGGATATTGCTTACAAGCTATTGTGGATATGTGTCTTCATTTTTTGTTGTATATACCTAGCAGTGGAATTGCTTGGTCTATGGTAGCTGACTGTTTAACATTCTCATGAACTGCCAGACTGTTAGCCAAAAAGACTGTACTATTTTACATTTCCACCAGTGGGTATGAGGGTTCTGATTTCTCTACATCCTTCCAAGCCTTGCTATTATCTGGTTTTTTTATTGTTGTAGAAACCACATGACATAAAATTTATCATCTTAACCATTTTTATGTATACATGTTAATAGTGTTAAGTATATTCACATTGCTGTGAAACAGATCTCCAGAACTTTTCATCTTGCAAAACTGAAACTCAACTCTTTTCTCTCTGCCTCCAACCCTGGTAACCACCACTCTGCTTTCTGTGTGTGTGTATTTGCTTTAAGTATAAGTAGAATCATACCGCATTGGTTTTTTGTGAATGGCTTACTTCACTTAGTGTAATGTGCTCCATGTTGTAGCATGTGGTGGAACCTCCTTTGTAAGGCTGAACAATATACTGATTTATGTATACACTACATTTTGTTTCATCTATTCTTTAGTGAGCATTTGAGTTGCTTCTGCCTTTTGGATAGTGTGAATAGTGCTGCTATGAACATGTGCATGCAAATATCTCTTCAAGACTCTGTTTCCAGTTCTTTTGGTTGTGTACCCAGGAGTGGGATTGTTAGATCATATGATCTTTCTGTTGTTAATTTTTTTTTGAGGAACCTTCATACTGTTTGTCTATAGCAGTTGCACTACGTTAAAGTTCAACCCAAAGTATACAAGGTTTTCAGTTTCTCCACATCTTTACCATTTGTTATTTTCTTATTTTTTTTAATGAGTGTGAATTATTTGTATTTTTAAATTTTAGTCGTTCTAGTGGATGTGAAGTATATCTCATTGTAGTTTTGACTTGTGTTTTCCTAATAGCTAATGATGCTGAGAATCTTTTCACGTGCTTATTAGCCATTTGCATATCTTAAAGAAATGTCTATTCATATCCTTTGCTCATTTTTTCATTGCTTATTTTTAAATATTTGAGTTGTAAGTGTTGTTTATATATTCTGGTTATTCTGGTTTTATCAGATACACAATTTGTAAATATTTTCTCCTGTGGTTTGTCTTTTCACTTTCATGATGATATTATTTGGAGAGTTTTAATTTTGAAACACTAATAGGATATTTGTTAATTATCTGGTATCCTAAGAAGAGTGAGATCAGAGATGGTGGGTTGGCTTATCCTGATTTATTTATTATCCTGGTTTATGTTTAAAATGTGCTTCAAAGAGAAATAAGAATACCACTAAAATGTTTGTCTAATTCCTTATAAGCACATATGAAACTATATTTTAAAGTATGCATTTTTAAAAATAATTTTTTAACCTAAGGAAAATGGTAACAGGAAAAACCAGTAATTTATTACTCTTTGTTTTCTATGCCATTTTGGTTACTAATTTTTACTGATTGACTTTTTCCTCCCCATAGGGAAAAGTAATAGAACCTTTGAAAGATTTTCATAAAGATGAAGTAAGAATTTTAGGCAGAGAGCTTGGACTTCCAGAAGAGTTGGTTTCTAGGCATCCATTTCCAGGTAAAAAATAAAACTGAACTTTGCTTGATTTGTCTTTAGACCTTCATGTTGAAGAATAATCAGTTTAGACAGTTCTGAAATAATTTGTCATTTCCAGGAATATGTAACATGAGAGAAAGGAAGGAAAGGGTAGTAAACAAATTTGTTTACCTACTGTATTCATTGTGTTAAATACTCATTTTCCATTTGTATTTAAATATTACATTTTCCTTGGGAGTCTGACATACAACATTGCCATCAGATAAGAAAACCAAGATGAGTTATTTTAATAACATTACCACACAATTCTTACTGGTAGAGCTTGTGTGTTCTCTGTACCATACCTTGTTACATTTTATGGAAGAAGTGAGAATTAAAACTTGGCTCTTTAAAATCCTTATTGTATGTCTGACTTGTTTGGATGGATGAACCATTTCTCTCATGTGCAGAGAATTCTTTGCAAAATGCTCTATGTAAGTAATTCATGTACAAATAAAAACTACTTAATATTTTAAATAGTCATTTGCTGTCATATAGGAAAAAATTAGAGGTGATATTTATTTAATGTTAGCATTGAAGGTCTTAACTTGTTTTTATTACTAGTCTTGAACTTGGACAAGTCTTGTACCTCAGTTTCTAGCTCTCTGTAATGGTGATTAGGTGATGAGTTGGGAGGATGGCCTAATTAATTTAAAAATACAGCAATAGCTAACATTTCTTAAGTATTTGCTATGTGCTAAGCACTTCCAGCTTCTTCAAGCATATTGTCTTGTTTGATCCTCACAATAGAAGCTAGTATTATCCTGTTTCACAGATTAAGAAATTTAGGGACAGAGGCTAATTTGCCAGAAGTAATGCAGATGAGAAAGTGGAGCCGGGATTATATCTCCAGTAATCTTTACCTCAGGGTTTATGCTCCTACCCATCGTATCGCCTCCATAAACAGTGTTAAAAATGTATAACCTATGTGGTGATTAGCACTTGTTGTCACATCTATTAATCAGATCTAGTAATTTAAGATCTTTAGTCTGGGGTGGGTGTGGTGGCTCACAGCTGTAATCCCAGCCCTTTGGGAGGTTGAGGTGAGAGGACTACTTGAGCCCAGAGGTTCAAGACCAATCTGGGCAACATAGCAAACCTGTCTCTACAAAAAATTAAAAAATGAGCTGGGCGTGGTTGCATATACCTGTAGTCCCACCTACTCGGGAGGCAGAGGTAGAAGGATTACTTGAACTAGGCTGCAGTGAGCCAAATTGTTCTACGGTACTCCAGCTTGGGCAAAAGAGTGAGAACCCAACTCAAAAACAAACAAAAAAGCCTTTAGTCCATAACCTGCTTGCTAGCAAAGAGTGGTCCATGAATGTAGTAGAGAGAAGCCAAGTAGTCCTATGTCCTTGATCCTTATTTCAGCTGACTCACTTGAATTTTTAGTCTATTTTATGTGCTTTCTATTACATAAACTTTCATTAACAAAAAGGGTTTTACTGCTTATCTTAAGTAAGCTGTTTATTCTCAAACTGAGGAATTAATGAACACAGCTAAAATTTTGTTTATAACCAGGCATCTCAAGTGATTTCTGTTGTTACAGAAAAGCAACAGAATCCAGTTATTCTTAGATCCATGCATAATACCTTGTGTTTTTATTAACTTTTAAGTATTTGGTAAAATAGAAATGCCAGTTCACATTTTTCGAAATTAAACACTCTCTTATTATTTGTTTGTGGGGTTTGTGTGTGTGTGTGTGTGTGTGTATGCATATGCATGTATGCACGTGCATGCACACGTATTAACAGCATACTACTTTTTTTTTTGAGAAAGCAGGATTTATTGAAAGGACAGAAAAGCTCCCACAGTGGGAGGGGACCTGAAGGGGTTGCCCAGCATACTACTTTTCTTAAAGTTACATTTGTAGTTGAAGCTGGATGATGAATATAAGGTAGTTCATTATTCTCTTTTGTATATGCTGGAAAGTTCCCTTAATATTTTAAAATAGATTGGCACATATCCTACGAGTTAAAAATATTTACTGAAGAGTTTTGTGGTACATAGTACACAGACTATAAAAATAGAAGATAGAAATCATTAATATGGAGAGAATTGAAGCAGTCTAAAAAATGAGTAGAAGCTGTGCTCAGTGGCTCAAGCCTGTAATCCCAGCACTTTGGGAGACGGAGGCGAGAGGATTGCCTAAGTCCACAACCCGGACACCTTGGTGAGACTTTGTCTCTACAATAAGTAAAAAAATTAGCCAGGCATGGTGACATGCACCTGTGGTTCCAGCTACTTGGAATGCTGGGGCGGAAGAATCGCCTGAACCCATCAGGTTGGGACTGCGGTGGTTGCGAGTGTGCCACTGCCCTCCAGCCTGGGCAGCAGCAGAGTGAGACTCTGATTAAAAAAATGAATTGAATGAGAAACTAGTAGCTACATTTGAAAATTAAATACTTTAAAACACTAAGGATGGCAGATGGATTTTAATTTTGGAAGGATTTTATATTTTGAAAATAGTGGCATTTTTACATTAAATTTTTGTATTAAATATAAAATTTATATTAAAAATATTGTTACTCTTCTCTTTAGGCCCTGGCCTGGCCATCAGAGTAATATGTGCTGAAGAACCTTATATTTGTAAGGACTTTCCTGAAACCAACAATATTTTGAAAATAGTAGCTGATTTTTCTGCAAGTGTTAAAAAGGTAATAATTTGACACAGTGAATTATTACAAGGAGTTGAAAAGATTCTTGTTGTACTTCAGTATTTACAATGAATTTATTCAGGTTTTATTATTTGAAAATTCAGAGTACTCTAATCTTTGAAATGGCTATGAAGAAAGTATTCTACAGAGATTCTTAGATGCAGGCTTCTCTTTCCAGCCAAATAAGGCTAAATATCCCAAATCCCTAAAAATGCTAGATAAAGTATTTTAAAAACACTTTTTATATTTATTGCAGGAAAATAAGGGAAATCCTTTGAGTCAGGAATGTATTGGAAGCATCAATTCAAGAAGCCAAAGTTGTCTGCTCCTCTGAGGACAGCTACTAGTCCTACATGGTCTAGAACTTTGGTTTTAACAATTCCATTCATGGACAGGTGTCTGAATATGAGATCTTGGGTCCATGAAAGGGCTGGGAATTGGATCAGAGATTTTCACACCAAGCAACACTTTAGCTCTAAATTGAAGTTGAATGGAAAAGTTTCTCAGTCTTCTTGCAGATTTGGGGCCCTAATTTATATAATCTGTGTGATCTGAAAACTAAGAATTTTAATTTAAAGTGGGCCTAGGTTGGTTATCCTTCCAGGAGTCAGGCAAGAAACAGTGCCAGTTCTCTTTAGAATGTCTTCAACTAGGTATTAAGGAATTTCCATAGATTTCCAACAAATATGAGCTTACAGTTAAAAAAATACAAAACATATAGAAGTAAGGCACCATGAATGAGAGTGGAAACAATTAGCAGGACGATACCCTCAAACACTTCAGATACCGGAATTAACAAACAATATATAAAGTAAATAGAAATAAACTATTGCAAATAATAAGATATGAGATACTACTAAAGATGGGCATATTTGAAAAAATCTAAGTTCTAGTGATGAAAGTCATAGCTGAAATTAAAAGCAGCTAAAGAGAGAATTAGTATACTATCCCAAAGGTGGATGTTTAGAAATTATCCAGATATTGGGACAAATCATCATAAAGAAAATATGGGTAGAGGTGGTTAAGATAAAATGAAAAGGTAAGCATTAACTTGTATCTAGAAGGAGATAATAGAGAAAAATATATTCATTCCTCCACACTGGCAAAAGGCACAGTGCCTCAGATTCAGGAAAAATAACACATCCTTAGCAGTATAAAGGAACATAATTTGACACCTAGTAGGCATAAAAATTATAGGCTGTCAAGGACAAAACAACTGCAGAGAAAAGATCAATTACCTCCAAAGGAAAGACTATTATACTGAAAGCAACAGTAAAAGCAAGACCTCAAAGTACACACAGAGAATAATTAGCTATAGTGAACAGCCAAACTGTCTTTTAAGAACACAGGCAAAATAAAATCATCTTCAGGTAAACAGAATTTACTACCAACAGTCCCTTTCTTAAGAAACTAAAGGCAGTGATTTTCAACGAGCTGTGTATTAGAGTCACCTGGGGGAGCTCTTGAAGTATACTACTATTCCTGACCCATCTTCCTAGAATTTCTTACTTAATTTGTCTGGGATGGGACCCGAGCACCCAAGTAATTTGCCTGTGCAGCTGGGCTTGAGAACCAACATTTAAAAAAACTAACTTCAGGAGAAGCAAAAGGCTCCCGGGAGAAAGGTCTGAGATACAAGAAGGAATGCTAAGCAAAGAATGTGATAAGTGAGTAAAATGGAAGCAGTCATGGACTGTATAAAATAATAAAAATAATGATCTTTACTTTTTAGTGTTTCTTAAAATATATGTAACAATGTAAAACTGAAATAGTGCGTAAGCAACAAGGGGGCTGGTTTGAGTCAAAGCATTCGTAGGTACTTGTATTGTTTGCCAGAAGGATTGTTTCTCTCTTTTTTTTATTTTTTATTTTTTTATTATAAGATGTGGGGTACAATTCAGGGTTAGGTATATAAACATTGATCATGCAGGTACCCTTGTTGATGAGGTATGCCCCTTCCTCCCCTAGTTTCCCTCAACTGCCAATCCCACTCCCCCTCCCCTGACAGTTTTCCACTACTGCCAATCGCTTTCTTACAGCGTTATAATTGTTCAAGGTCAGCTTATGAGTGAGAACGTATGGAACTTAGTTCTTTGTTTCTGTGATAAATCACTGAGTATGATCGACTCCAAATCCGTTCAAGTTGCTTCAAGTCCATATATTTGTCTTTCTTTATGGATGCATAATATTCCATTGTGTATATGTACCACATTTTTTTTTTTATCCAGTCCAGCTTCGATGGGCAGCATGGTTGGTTCCATGTTTTTGCTATTATGAATAGAGCTGCAACAAACATACGTGTCTAGGTATCTTTTTTCGTAGAATAATTTGAGTTCCTCCAGGTATAGTCTCAATAGGGGAATTGCTGGGTCATATGGAAGATCAATTTCTAGTTCTTTTTTGTTAAGCATCCTTGTCAACACTTCAGGGGAACTACTGCAAGAATAGAAATAGAGGGTTTAACTTCAAAGCCAGTAAAGGGGAAATAAATGAGCTAGGAGAAATAATCGCCAGTTCAAAAGAAAGCAAGAAAGGAGAAATAAACATAAAAAATAGGATAGATAGTCACTACAGAGTAAGATATGGTAGGTAGAATGAAATTCAACCATATCATTAACCCACAATTAATTAAAAGGACTAACATGCCTAGTTAAGACATAGATTCTCAAACTGGATTGAGAACTAAAATGTATTTTAGTGTAGAACAGTAATCTGAAAAGCATAGTCTATTCACAAGAGAACATTACTAATACCTAGGGATAGAAGGAGTGAAAGTTAAAGAATGGAAATCACATTCCAGGCAAATAAGTAAAGGAAATGGGTGGAGCTATCTTAATGGCTGTAATAAAACAAAATTGATTTTATGACAAAAAGTATTATTAGAGATAAGATTTGACTCAGGTGAAGTGTGTCACTTGCTGGTGACAGGGAATTAAAGCCTTGATATATGTGAATCTAACCTGTATTTCTTATCCTGAGATTTAACTTCTTTATAGCCCTAACCCTCAGCAACAAATTTGCCTCAGGAATGAATTTCTGGTATAGTGCATAGCACACACATGTCATGAAGATACCAGATATGATCTGTTGCTGTAAATCAGTAAGTGTAGGTACATAAGATAGTAGATAGCAGAAGAATACCTTATTTCTTAAAACCTGCAAAAATGTCTTTTTGGTTTTCTCAGCCTCATACTCTCTTACAAAGAGTCAAAGCCTGCACGACGGAAGAGGACCAGGAAAAGCTGATGCAGATTACTAGTCAGCATTCACTGAATGCCTTCTTGCTGCCGATTAAAACTGTAGGTGTACAGGTGAGTTGTGGGAATTCGTTAACCTGTGACATGACTTTCTGCAACTTCTCTTTTCACTAGTGTTGGAATAGGAATTATTTAGGAAGGTGAGATATGAACATATGTATACCAAGTTTAGAAAAGTAAAAAGGAGAGATTTTATAGAATGCTTATGAAATGAGTAGCTATAGGCACTAAATATTCAGGCCACCGTAGTTCTGGAATATCTGGCAACTCAAAACAAAAGTGAAAATTAAAAGAACCACTTGCTGCAGGATTGGCCTGCTAACTTCTGCTTTGTGAGGCAGGTGTCAAGGGGTCATGTCCTCATTTATCCTTCTGGGTGTGAAATATCCCTTAGCTTTAGAAGTCTTTAACTGTAAGAGGGCCCCCAGATGAGTATGTCCCGCCATTTAGGTCTTGTTCACTATCCCTTCAACACATCATTTCTCTTCCTTGGTTGTGATGATGTACAGCTAATTTTTTGGTCTTTATTATTCTACCTTTCTAGTTGTAAAAATGTGAAAATAATAGTTCTCAATTTTAAAGTGCTACTTATAAAATGATTATATTAAATTCTTCTTTATTTATGTGGTCCTCTAGTAAGTTTCTGAGATACAGAGGTTCAGAAGGGCAGAGAATGGGAAAGTTTCTTTTCTGTTACTTAGAGTTGTGGCTAAATGGAAATTAGGAAAGGTGTCAATAATTCAACTCAAAATGGCATAAGGCTCAGTTACTGAGTTAGTGTAGTTATATTGTCTTTTTATAGCAGAATTATATGTAGAAAGAAAGAAGTTCTGTTTTAGAGATTATTCATGTAAAACTTAATCAGCATATTTTTCCTAGATGTAGTAATCTGTTGGTTTTTAAAATTTCTCCTTGCGCATATGTTCTGTCTAAAATATTTTCATTTATGGAAATGGTAGCCAGCTATTTTATTTACAGAACTCTTGTCCCATCTTTGCCTCCCTTTTTAAAGGCCGCATGTGTAAACTGCTTATATTATTTAAAAATCACTATTGAAATTACCTTTCTTGGAGTTATAGAAATAATTTTCTTTCTTTCAGTGGTTTGTGGATTATCTCATGTATCCTATAAAAATTCATTTTGAAATTTGCTGTAATATTTACAAGTAGATATTAACCTACTGTATAAAAATAGAAGTGAAAACAGATTATTTAATTCTTAAAAGTTTTTTCAGTACTGAGTAGATCTACATAGAGAACTTTCTCCTCTATATGCTAAACTCCTGTTAGAGAGGGAGCTGAGTTGAAATAGTTCCCCACTCTCCTTTTTAAGAGAAGTGTTCTAGATAAATAGATGCTTGAGGCAATATAATTTGTCAGATGAGTGATTTCTTTTTTGAAAATGAAACTTATTCAGGCTTTACTACTCCTCCCACCAAAAGAAAGTTTCCTTTGTTATTAGACTTAACTTTAAATCTATTACCCCTTTGCTGCTGAGATCCTTGCAAGCCCAGATAGAAATGATAATTCATGGTTAGTAGAGCAGTGAGGTTTATTTTTAAATACCAGAGGAAATCATAAATGTAAAAAAAAATCAAAAGACCTTAAAAAATTTCCTTATTCCTGCTCTTCAGTTAAGTTTTGTGTGTGTCCTTTGAGAAACACGTATTTTAAAAAGGAAATAAGAGATTATAGCTATACATTATTCGTAAACTTTTTTCTTTTAAACACCATGAACTTATGTTTTCATGCCTTCCCAAGTAGATTATTCTTCTCAATTACTGCCTCATGTTCCATGTATGCCATAATTTAACTATTCTTCCATCAGTGGGAATTTAAACTTTTTCGTTTTTATTATTATAGGCATTTAATCATATATTTTCTCATATTTATGTAGGATCATTTTTTGATTTAAAAAGCATGTACATTTTAAACTTTTATAGATACCATCACATTAGCATTTGAATACTTTGAATTTTCTTATTCTCAGAATGTGACATTCTGGATATTAGGTAGTTATCTGAATCTGTTACTTTATATATACATGTACATACACATACACATATACATATACATATACATTTTTAAAAAATTTAATTGTTACCTAGACTGGTTTCAATTCCTTGGCTCAAGCAGTCCTCCCACTTCAGCCTCCCAAAGTGCTAGGATTATAGGCATGAGCCACCATGCCTGGCCTGAATCTGTTACTTTTTTAATTGCTTTTTTTTGAGGCTGAATTATAATCTCTAATACTCAGTTGCAGTGTCCTGAATACAGTTCAAAAATCTTACTTGTTTTGTACCAGATTGCTAGTTAAATGTTGGATTTCACAGTTGTTCACTCCTTCAGTTTTCTTTGTGGGTGATAGGCAGTTAACAACCAAAAAGAATTACTTGAGATTTCATTTTACTCAAATTGCTGCAGAAATTAGAAAGCTACTTGTTAGTGTGAACCTAGCAGTCTGTAGAGTTACAGATAAGGAGTTGCCGGGAAGTCAGACACTTTCTGGTTCACTGCAGCCTTGATCCCTGGGCTCAGGTGATCTTTCTGTCTCAGCCTCCTGAGTAGCTGGGACTACAAGTGCATGCTACCACACTTGGTTACTTTTTACATTTTTTTGTAGGTCTTGTACTCCTGGGCTCAAGCAATCCTGCCCACTTCAGCCTCCCAAAGTGCTGAGATTACAGACATGAGCTACCACACCCGGGATTTTTTCTTTTTATTATTATTTTTTTTAGTCAGAGTCTCACTCTGCACCCAGCCTGGAGTGCAGTAGTAGTACACTCATGGCCACCACAGCCTCTACCTGCTGGGCTTAGGTGATCCTTCCACCTCAGCCTTCCAAGTAGCTGAAAACTACAGGCGTGCACTAGCACAACCAGCTAATTTTTTTTTTTTTTTATTTATTGTAGAGACGAGGTCTCACCATGTTGTCCAGGCTGGTCCCCAACCTGTGGACTCAGGCAATCCTCTTGCTTCCGCCTCCCAAAGTGCTAGGATTACAGACGTGAGCCACTGTGCCCAGCCCAGCATTTTTTCTTAAAACAAATTATTTGGACTAAATAGGACAAGGAAAAGGGAGTCAGTTGTTATTGAGTTTCATTTGCTTATTTTTATATTAACTTTATTTTGCATTATATTTATTTTATATTGACTTTTAACTCATGTTTAAACAAATTGATAAGTAAATGTTTATGAATTGACTTTGTCTGCCACTTAAGAATTCCTTATCTGACTTAGTAAACATGGTCAGGTTTTGTCTGCCAAATTGAGTATGCTGGTTATCCCCAGTGAATCTCTGACATATGTTGAATAAATTCTTTTTTTTTGAGTTGGGGGTCTCACTCTATCACCCAGGTTGGAGTGCAGTGGCATGATCATGGCTCATTGCAGCCTTGACCTCCTGAGTTTCAGGTGATTCTTTCACCTCAGCCTCATGAATAGCTGGGACTACAGGTCTGTGCCACCACACCTGGCTAATTTTTTATTTTTTTGTAGAGATGAGGTCTCGCTATGTTGCCTAGGCTGAAAGAATAAATTCTTAAAATTACTAGATGCTATCTTTATGTCTGAGCTAACTAAGATAGGATTTAAATTTGGGATATATTTATATTATTAGAGAAGCACCTAGTATATACTTTTATTCAAACAATGTGTTCTTATTTTTAAAAAATTACTACTAATAGCATCATCATGCACAAAATGTTTTTTAATATGTCTTTTGACTTCTTTGACTATATTTATATTTTCAGGGTGACTGTCGTTCCTACAGTTACGTGTGTGGAATCTCCAGTAAAGATGAACCTGACTGGGACTCTCTTGTTTTCCTGGCTAGGCTTATACCTCGCATGTGTCACAACATTAACAGGTATGTTCTGTAGGAGATGGGGCTAGGGGCATATTTAATGGAACTGTGTGTTTTTTAAGGGCTTTCCATTAATGAAAGACCAAAAGGTTCAGGTGTAGATATAGGTAGGTTATGTAGATAAGAGTTTATGTAGATATAGTTAGAATATGTGCACAGGTCACAGTTAAACAGACATTTAATATTATCTTGTGTTTTGGCCCCTCTTCACAATATAGTCACAATGTGTTTTTAAAAACTGTTTACAGAGAAATAGCATTTTTATTTTAGTATAAAATATTAGAGACAGCTTTAAAACATGTCTTCCAAATTAGCAGCTTATACTAGCTATTGGTTTTATGTTAGCATATTTATTCTGGAAGGGTTAAAAAAATATGTACAGGTTATAGAATTATAAATAGAGACTTGGTTAATTTAACAGTAATCTGAAGAAAAATCAAATAAAAGAAATAGGCAGCCAGGTGCAGTGGCTCATGCCTATAATCCCAGCACTTTGGGAGGCAGAGGCAAGAGAATTGCCTGAGCCCAGGGGTTTGAGACCAGCCTGGACAACATGGCGAGACCTTGTCTCTACATTAAATCAAGAAATTAACCGGGCGTGTTGGCGCTTGCCTATAGCTCCAGCTACTTGGAAGGCTGAGGTGGAAGGATCGCTTGAGCCCATCAGGTCGACATTGTGGTGACTGTTACCGTGCTACTGCACTCCAGCCTGGGTGACAGAGTGAGACCACAACTCAAAAAAAAGAGGGGAGGGCATTTGCCACATATTAAAATAGCTTATTTACACTTTTAGATTGTTTTTCTTTGATTTGCATAGTAATTTCTTATGTTGGATATATCAACAGCGGACTTATAATCGCTAATACTCAATTGCATTGTCCTGTACACAGTTAAAAATGTCACTTGTTTTGTGCCAGATTGTTAATTAAATGTTCTGTTTCATAGTTGTTCACTCTTTCAGTTTTTTCATGGGTGATAGACAATTAACAACAAAAAAGAATTACTTTAGGCTTCATTTTACTCAAATTGCTGCAGAAATTAGAAAGCTACCCATTAGTGTGAACTTAGCAGTATCTGAAGAGTTACAGCTAAGGCAGGGGTCCTCAAATTTTTAAAACAGCGTGCCAGTTCACTGTCCCTCAGACCGTTGAAGGGGCGAACTATAGTTTAAAAAAAAAAACTATGAACAAATTCCTATGCGCACTGCACATATCTTATTTTGAAGTGAAAAAACAAAACGGGAACAAATACAATATTTAAAATGAAGAACAAGTAAAGTTAAGTCAACAAACTTACCAGTATTTCAATGGGAACTATGGGCCTGCTTTTGGCTAATGAGATGGTCAATGTCCGGTTCCATATTTGTCACTGCTAGTCGTAACAAGTGATGCAAGTGTGTATCAGTTAGTCTAGATCTGGTTGGAGATTTCAGATGTTTCATTCTGGAAAAAGTCTGTTCACAGACATAAGTGCTGCCAAAGATGGTTGCCATTTTGAGTGCATGGTTCCTGAGATTACTGAGAGGAGGAGTCGAGAGACGGAGAGAAGGAGGGGAGTGGGAGAGTGCGACGCACATTCCACACGTTTGCACTGCGGCCCGGATAAGTCGGCTGCTAGGCAGGACAGGCAGCGGAGGCAAAAACACCCGGTGGGCCGGATAAATGTCTTCGGCGGGCTGTGTGTGGCCCACGGTTTGAGGCCCGTAGTTTGAGGACCCTTGAGCTAAGGAGTTGCCGGGAAGCCAGGTTTTGACTGATAGAATATGCCCATTCAAATGCTTATTTGGATGAACTGACAACCCCAAATACAGAAGAACCTTTAATATACTGGAATAAAGAATTATTCATGTCTTCAATAACAGCAAATTTGTAATTGCCCGTTTTGAATGGATATAATTATCTTGGTTAGAAAAATGTTTCATAATCTATCTTCTGAAAAATGCTGATATTTATGTAAACTTCATATGTATCGTGAAATGTTCCTTTTCCTAAGTTTAACTCACACAGCCTTTACTACATAATTAGTATGTTTTTTCATTTCACAGCATTATTATGATTTTATCTCTTTTTCTGTCTTATTTTTCTCTTGCCAAAGGGCACATACCCTTGTTTAAACCTTATTCTTTTGTATGCTGGTTTCTCTTTTTCCCCCCATTTGTCTCTCCTTCCTTACCCCTTCCTCCTTCCTCTAACAAGAAAAACATAAAAACCCAGCAACCAGTCAATAAAAAACGGAATTTTTATTTTAATTACTTTCCCCCCCCTTTTTTTAGAGACAGCGTTTTAAAAAAGCTCTGTTGTCCAGGTGTGGTATAGAGTGGCACTATCATAGCCCACTGCAGCCTCGAACTCCTGGGCTCAAGCGATCCTCTCACCTCAGTCTCCAGAGTAGCTGGGACTACAGGCGCATGCCACCATGCCCAGCCAAAACTATATTGTTAATTATGGACCTAGCAAATCCTTAAAAGAATCTTGGTGAACTTTAAATTTCTTTGCCAGTGTCCTTTTTGGGAATGGGAATTCTAAAATAATTTTCCAATTTTCCAGTTTTTGTCCTAATTGGATTAAGGACTGTGAACAGGAAGGGACTGTTCCAATTTTGCCATTCTATACAATGGATGACTACCTGTCCCTCCTGCATCCTCTGCTGATCACTTGTTTGTAAGAAATGAGAATGTGAAAGGAGCAGATTCATGGTGTTCTCTTAACTAATCACTTTCTCCTCTGATGATCTTCAGTGATCTCTAGGAACCATAATGTTTAGAAGAATGACTTTCTTTTCCTTTTTTGAGTTGGAGTCTCACTCTGTCACCCAGACTGGAGTGCAGTGATCGCTCCCGGCTAGGAACCATAATGTTTAGAAGAATGACTTTCTTTTTCTTTTTTGAGTTGGAGTCTCACTCTGTCACCCAGACTGGAGTGCAGTGATCGCTCCCGGCCACGGCAGCCTCGACTTGCAGGGCTCCGGCGATCCTTCCGCCTCAGCCTTCCAAGTAGCTAGAACTACAGGTGCACACTACCACACCTGGCTAATTTTTTTGATTTATTGTAGAGATGAGGTCTCACCAAGTTGCCCCGGCGGGTCTCAAACCCGCGGGCTCAGGCAATCCACTCACCTCAGCCTCCCAAAGCGTGGGATTACAGGCTGAGCCACCGAACCTGGCTTGACTTACTTTCAATGCGTGGGACAAAAAGCATTCCTTCTAGGTGGTGTGTGTGGAAGGAGGGAGGGAATGAAGTGTAGTGAGTGTAGAAGTGGTTTTGCTCTAGTGCAGTTTTCTTTTCTTTTTCTTTCTTATTTTGTTTTGAGTTGAAGTCTCACTCTGTTGCCCAGACTGGAGTGCACTGACCGCTCCCGGCCACCACAGCCTCGACCGGCTGGGCTTCAGCGATCCT